GTCATCACGAGGTACTGCCCTGTTTACACGATAATTAGAGATTTAAAAATACCTTCAAGGCCAGTATATATCAACGATACCTATATAAGGGTGTATCCTGCATGTTTCACGCGAAGGGGCAGGGGTGAATAAAGACGCTTAGATTAGCATTTTCCATTTCTAGATAAGAGTATTATCCAAAGTTAAAGCCTTGTATTTAGGGAAATACGTACGTATGAAGGTAGGGCAATTAAAAAAAACCGCAAGCAGTTATTGTGTCGCTTCATGATTTGAAATGAACCAGAGCAGATCGAGGGTCAAGCAAATAAATTTGTTGATGGCCAACTGTTTAAGGTGAATGGCTATATTTTTTTAACCAGATGTAATTACTTTGTGACCTCAAAGTCAGCATTTAAAATTCATTTGACGCAGATAAGTTCTGACCGAGTACTAGAATAAAGGAAAATACCTCGTGTATACATAAGCCCAAGTAAATCTCGTCATTTAGCAGTGCATGTTACCTCTACGGTTCAAGTATAAAAACACACGAGGCTTTCCGTGGGGCATTTTCAAATTATTGAGTAACCCTTTCGGCTGTAAGTGAAGTGTTTAGAGGTGTTTGAAGGATCCCAAATTTCACAGCTGCATTGCATTACAGGGCGTTTATCAGTAAAATCATTTGGAACAAAGGAATGCACACTTTGACGCACCCTTGTCTATCTTTTTTTCTTTTTTTTTTTTTAATTTAATTGTTGTTCCTCTTCATTGCAGAATATTTATTTATTCATTTATTTTTTCTCGGTATGATGCTTTTTGATTTTTGATATATGTGATATGTCACATTATTCCAGAATACTCGTTCGTGTCTGATGGAGGGCTGTGATACTTGTTTGTAAGGACGTCATCGAGACTGAGAACTTCGTGACAACTTAAAACGACAGTAGTTTTAGCCACATTGCAGAATATCTTGTAATGCGAATTTTCTGGATCAACTCCACTCTTCGAAGCACCAGAAAATATCACACATGACCGGACATTACTGATTTTTATTCAATTTTTTAAAGGTAAATTCCCATATTTATTAATAGTTCTATGGAATAACAGGTGGTCCAAGATAGCTTCACGTCCCTACAACGTTGTATGTCAAGTTAAAGTTATGCTCCCGTTTTTAGCATCATAAACGACGACCTTGTGCCGTTAGTGATTGTTCAAACAAAGCAAAACCCTACTTATTGTTGTTCTCCGTGGGATTGACATTTCATGATGTTTCTGTCAACTGCGCAGCAAACATTTCGAAATTTGACTTTTTCGATGGAAAACCACAAACCACAAGGCTGCTAAAAGGGTCAACACTTCAACGGGCAAACTATCATCAGGAAATCCGGACTTTCTCGCCTTGGTGTCTGTTCAAACTTCCTGGAGGAACCAGCATAGATAACTGTCTCTTACGATTAAAACTATTTTGTTGCAATTGAAACTACTTTTGTTTTGATTTGATTACATGGGATCCTTCATGTAGGTTGGAAATCTGAAAAGAAAAATCCTACAATACGTGCCTGCTGTTATGCGAGCTGTAATTTTACTGCAGATCAATAACGCCAAAAGGGAATGGGTCCCGGCTTGTCACTCAGATTTAAATACATAACCTTGAGCGTTGTTTTTAACGTTTGTGTTTGTGAGAAAAGATGGCAAAGATATATTGTCTGGCACAGTTGTGCGAAAGTGACGGCAGTATTTAGGCTGTTAGAAATTAGGCTTTTAAATTGGTTCTGCGAAAACAACGACTGTTACATCGGTCTGAAGAATCAAGTCTCGATAAAGATACCAAAGAGAAATTTGAAAGATATACTTTAACCTTTCGGATCAGCATCAAATTAATTCTTTCCACGTTTCTGCAATTAATTAACCTTAGGGAGAATTCATGGTTTCGAAACGCCTTGAGGAAACTTAAATTATCTTGGAATTTGTAATGTAGTTATTCCTTTCTCCCTTGCGCAATCAATTATTGAAGGGAAGTTAGTTTTGTTATTGAAAGATTAAAATTCAGCATTTCCTTGTAAAGAAGATTTACTAAGTCCATCTAGGCTATAAATCGTTATTTTTTTGCTAATTAGCTTTTCGAAAGTATCTGTCATTTTGTTTCGAGGTAGTCCTGGGGTAAAATTGAAAATCTACTAGTGATTCAGCCAGATTTCCTTCATTAAGTGCTACAATGTAAGGACTTTAAGAGGGTTTTTTTTTTATCTTAAAAAGTAAAGTCTTCCTGAAGATGCTCTGAAATACTCTAAATCTGTTGGCAACTATGAATGCTTTGGTTTGGCAGAGGTTTTTGGCTCCCGCCATGCAATCTCGCTGTGACCTTGACAGAGAATGTCATTTGAAATCAGAGTGGAATTTGAACAAGGCGTATGTCAATGTATTTTGATCGGGAACTTCTGTTAGTCTAAACTCCTTGCTGAGCAGTTTAGAAAAATTAAAGACTAAAAATGCGTCTGACGAGACACGTTTCTCTACCAAATCTTCTAAGCTTGCATCAGTGATCAACCACATTGTGAACAAAATCTTCTCAATCGGCTTTGCACGATGTTTTGAGAATTAATTTTGACGCAAACTGTAATGAATCGTTCAGGAAAAGTACACACATTCCATGGTAATTATGTCATCTTTAAATGAATATGCAGCTTAAATCACCGTTATTTTCTATCCTGAAACTTTTTGTGGTGCGAGTACTTAGCTATTTTGCAGTATGTTAAAAGCCTATCGTCGCTATCTTCCTACTCAAAACAGGATGCACAGCACAAGTTTGCTTTTGCTTTTCCATGGCAATCCTCGAGATATCGATTTGGGATGTCAACTCTCTGTTCTCTGTGAAGGACAGACAGTTTTCGATTTACTTAAATAGTGTTACATCTCTGAAACTTAGAAGCACTCATTTTAGTCGGACAACAACCACAAGAAAACCTCCTCGCTAATACTTGAGCTAAAAATCTTAGACGACAGGGAAAGGGATGTACTTGAAGGAGATGGGTTATAATGAACACCCTGCTGTGTGGGAAAAAACCCAAAACGAGTTCACACATATCTCTCTCGCATCAGATCATTTACTAATTATTGCTTGATAAGACTGATCTTGTAACTTGCCAATACTCATTTTCCACACGTGTTTTTTAGCTTAGATTTGACATCATTTGGCTCCTAATTCTTGGCTATTAGCAACGGATTCCCAACGACAAGAAAACGGATTGAAATTTCTCATCAATACAAGCCAATTCTCGCCGGCTTTTGTCGGCGATTTTAAAAATCCGTACGCCGGTCGCGTGTTGCTCTTGTCGCAAGCCACACTCCAAACGAACAAGTTGAAACCAAACTCTTGTTTCTAAAGTAAACTGTTTGCCCATTAATCATAAATAATCGATACAATTTGCTCGAATGATCCCATGAGTGCTCTTAAATTTTTTTCTGTGTTTAAAATTGAAGGTCAGTAATATTAAAACAACCTGAATGGAGCGCAACCAGCCATATTTATTGGGAAATGTTCAATCAACAGGAGGAAAAAAATGTGTTTTATATTAATTTTGGAATTCCGGGGAATTCTAGACATGTTTCCTTTCCCATTCCACATCATTATCAGGTCTACGATTACGATCGTGTAAAAGATAAACGCGTAAGCGCTTTAAATAGCGAAAGTGAAAATGCACAGTGAGCGCATTTCGGCAAATTTCTAGTTTTTCTCTAACCCTACTCCTGAATTTTAACCGAAACAAATCCCACACCAGGGATTAACAATGCTATTCGCAGCAATCCAGGTTCTGCTAGCTTTGAGAAGGACGTTTTTTAAACTCAAAACTTTGCTAGAATTTGACTGTCGTCAATTTTTTTGCTTCAAGAATTTCAATCGAAGCACCTTAAGGCACCAATCATTTTATTGTGGGATTGGGAATGTCAACCTCTTGTCAAGTCCATGACCAATTCTAACTTATTAAGCGTCGATTTATAATGTTAACCCTCCATGCCGTTGCAGCGAGATTTGCAACTGCATTGAACGTTTAAAATGAAGGGTTTGTTGTGAAACATCAGCGAAAAAAGATAACAGAAGGGTCTTTAAGCTCTATATTTAGCAAGCGATAGTTTTCTTAGATAACATTGCGCCGATAAAACCTTGCTCTCGATCCTGTATATAATTTAATAAGCGTGGCCAAGATCCAAACGCTCCTTCCCGAAAAGAACTACGCGTGGGCAATTATTTTGAATGCATATTTATTTCGAAGACAGTCGATTTTGGCAACTGTGTGTCAATATTTGAAGTAAGCGAAGGAAGTCGGATACATAACACTAGGCGTGCTAATGAATAATTAGCGCAAATCACGGTTCTTTTGTTCAGAGTGATGTTCGAACAAGCCTAGTTTCCGGTGTGGAAAGAGATTAACACTAGGAGTCAAGAGCGCCATAAAATATCTGAAAACAACTTTTCGCCGAGAAAACGCTTTTCCGGACACGAAGGCTGATCTTCGAGAAGAAAGACTCTTTCATTGACTTGTGGTCATGTGACGTCAGAGAGGTCTGAAATGTATTTTAGAACAAACTCGAAGAGCCAGCTTGTCACGGAGTTTCTCGCCAAGATCACCAAATTATCAAGTTCGGCAAATACGTTCAGCCGTGAATTCGGGCAAGTTATTAAGTTGAAGCGAGTTCGACGCGTTTGTGGATTACTATTGCAAGGTCAAATTTGCTAAAATTCAGATTTACAGTAGGCGCTTTAGGGAAGAAAAAAGTCGATTCCTTCTGTTAGATTATGACAAGTGATGACACATCTCAGTGTGTACTTTGACTTGCGTAAGCCAATCGTTTTCATCGTAGATAACAATCTGTGTAAGCTGCTTTTATGAGCTGTCAAATCGGAGAAAAGTTGGAGAAGGTGACAGTATTTTTTCTTGATTTAACAAGCCGGCCTAAACAAGGATAATTCCGGCACTAATGGCGGTAACATAGCACCGCGCGCACGAACTGATGAAGAACACTAATGAAGCTCATTAACAAATCTTTATTTTAAAAGCGAACCGAAATTTTACATCCAAATATAAACTACGGAAGACTGCACCACGAATGATTTCAACAAACTACGAACGAACTTTGTCCCTCGGCCCCTCGCAGTGCTTCTAGCCTTCAACCGTGCCCATCACTCGTATTTGACCCCTATGTAAACTGTACATTGAAAAATAATTCCATGTATACGCATTTCGCTTGAAAACAAGACAAAACAAGACAGAAACTATTAAACAAATCTAGTTGCCATCGAAAATGAGGGCAGAAAGCTGTCACTTGAAAATATTAAAAAAAGTCTCGGAACCAAGACTATGCGTAATGGAATTTTACAGTCAAAAGTCTGTACTACTCCATCGAAGCTGTGATCTTACCAAACCACATCACACATGATATTCGCTGTTTCTGTGCCGTCCAGGTACTGATCAAATTCTTCTCTGTTGAAATCTCCTTCTGGTAACAGATCTCCGATGTGCTGAGCGAACGAGAAGAGCTGGCTTGTACTGGTATCGTTGTGCTGGAGATGTGTATTCGCGCTACCAGCCATGAGCGGCGAGCTTATTGCCTGAACACTTCCGTTCGTGAAGTAAATAGGGCTGCCAGGCGCTGAGTTTGAAGAAGACACTCCGATGTACGGCGTTGGGGTAGTGGTCTGCGATTTGGGTTGGAGGTTTAACAGAGCGTTTTGAAGGTCTTGCCAGCTCGTTGGGAAATTAAACGCGCTACCAAACTCGCTTGACCCAGGGCTTGTCTCAGGTGTGGGGAGGCTTATCTCGGACAAATTCGGCAAGGTGGAAGTATTTCCGAGATGTGATAGCCTCAGTTCTCCGTTTGCAAAAGGTATCGGGGCAGACGCCTGCCCAAAGTTCAAACCATTACTCTCTGGTGAGCTAAATAGGAGCTGTCCGCAGCCGGCACCTGAAGTGGAGCGCGAGACACTAGCTGTTGATTCTTTGGGATTGCGCACCACTGCACAGTTCGGGGGTGAAGTGGTCATTTTTTTACACACTCTTTTCGGGTGTTTTCTTCTCCTTGGCCTGTATTTGTAGTCAGGATAATCCTTTATGTGTTGCTGTCGCAAACGTTCGGCCTCTTCTACAAATGGTCGTTTCTGCGATCCGTTCAGCGATCTCCAAGCCTGTCCCAGGATTTTACTGAGCTCGGCGTTGTGAAGCTCTGGGTTGGCATCTGCCAGCCGCCTTCGTTCCACTTGCGCCCAAACCATAAACGCGTTCATCGGTCGCTTGATTCTGTCGGAGTCGCTGTCCATAATCGGGTCCTTCTTCGGAGCAGCTCCTTGTTCCAGCGACCCCAGTAATTTAGCATAACTTTCACTCTGTTGCCGCGGCGGTGGCTGGGGTTGACAAGCGATCGGATTGTCAAACCCCAAGGGGTTTAAAATTCGCATTGGAGTTAGCGGAGCAGGGATTCTCTTGTTTCGCATCGTCCTACGATCGGACAGCAGCATCCTTTCACTTTCACGCATAGTGTAGAGCTCTGTGTAATTTCACGCCTGTGACGGACTTGCAGCGTAGGGGATTTTTCTGACTCCAAAAAAATTTGCCAAGCTCCCCGCTGCTACGATGTTCGCGATATGCAAGAACACGTGTGATAGATATGACAGGCGAGTAGAAAATAAAGTCTTTTATCACGTGGTTAATTACGACATTTTTTGTGTAATAATTCCTCGAACCAATCAGAGAGCTTAAATCTTGACAGGTGTCAGCAGTTCAGAAGAGAGCTATCGATCTTGGTGCCAAACTGACTATGCTTTGAAAGGATTTGTGGCTGTATATTTCATGGATATTTTAAAGAAATATCGGGTTACCCAAGGGTCAAGATTGGGGCTGCAAGTAGGAAACGTGACGTTTTGGCTCCAGCCCACAAATTCCTTGCCAGCAATAGCGCCAAATCGCCGTAAGTGTCGCGTAGAGTGAGTGGAGTGTAATCAGACAAGTTTTGCCCAGAGAGCGGAACCGAACAGATAAAGTTATTTCCTTCCGACACGCCAAGCTGCCTTCATCGAATGAATTTACAATGCGTTTCATTCTGTAACAGACTTCCTTGCAATTAAAATGCGATGTAATGAAATCGTTAGGTGCTATAACATAAGAAACGGGCTCGGTTCAAAGTGCTACCCATATCGGTACGGTGTCGATTACATTCGTTGAGCTGTGTTTCGTGTATCAAGAAAACTAAAGTAAACATGTACAGTCCAGAAAAAAAAAACCCGCTCATCTGAGCGCTTGGACGTGACCATAATATTGACTTTGGGATTAAAAATTCGTCATACTGCAACTTTTTTTTTTGCCAGAAAGAGGTGCCTTTGTATTGGCCAAGGGAAGAGGCGAAACGTTTATAACATATCAGTGTGATTGATTCTTGTAGCAAGTTTTTGACAGTTTTAATAAAACTGTTGTACAATTGTATTGCATTAGTTAGGCGCCTGTTTTGTCCAAACAGAGTTTATATTTGCAAATGTTGCGCCGCGTAGCTCTGATATGAAAAGCTAATGGTTGAGCGTCTCGGCCACTGATCCCGCGCATGGGAACCCAAGAATGTGCTAGATTGATCAGCAGCACAGGTTACGTTCTCCAGTTGTGCCTTGTGTCTTTTTACAGCTCCGTTTTCCTTGCAAGTGAAGCTCTGTGAAAAGTGAGTTATTATTTGATATCAGTGAACTTATATTCATGAGCGGGCTTCACGAGCCTGCAGCAGGTGCTCTCAGCTACAGCGAACCCGCCGTTTTGAAAACTGATGGAGCAAACGTGACCCAAACATGACGCCATACGAAGTTTTTTGCATCGAAGTTTTTTTTGGCATTTTTTTCTTTTTCTGAAAATATTCACAATTATTACGCAATGTAAGGGTGTCACTTTTTTGACTGGTCGTCAGTTTGGGGACCAGTGCATGTCGAAGGTGTGCCGCGAAATATGCAGAGCGCTTTTTTGTCATAGTTTATTGACCTTCGACTGTGCGCTTTCCACCCATATGCAGTCCTCAAATTAAACGAGCAAAACTACAGTCTTTTAAGAGTGGTTAAACGATTTTGCTTTCCAAACAAAACTTACGAGACAGCCCCGCGAAACAGAGAAATTTGCCTCCTCGTTATGCAACACTGTTGACATTTTTTATCCTCAAAATGAGATAGAAAGCATAATCTGACGTGAGACCGTTACGCTGTGCTTCTGATATCAAAAGATAAGCCGCCATAAGCGATAAGATACGGCAAAAGCAGGTTTTATCATCGGTGTTCTTTGTCAATGTCTCCAGCCGACCTCATTTCAACTTCGCCCTAGAGCCTAGAAATTAGGACTGTTGCTGACAGAACATTAATTTGTATAAAGCCGAGAGAGATTCTAAAATACATCATACCCTGTTAGCTGTTCATGTTTGGTGTTGTTTTTTTTATATTTGTTTTTCTGCCGCAATGTCGCCAATTTGACAAATTTTGAGATCAAGGTCGGAAATGAACCGACAACTGTGTCCGTTTCAGTGAGTTCGCCCTTCCTTATCGTTTTGCATTCCGTGACACCTTTTTGCAAACTATATGAAGGAGTGTTGACACAGAGAAAATTACACCCAAATAAACTCTGTCTGATTTACAACGATATCTTCTGTTATGGCGGCGTCTTGAGAGCGGTTTAGGCCAGTAATTTTCGGCCATATTTTCAACACAGTCGACATTCTGACTTATAAAAACAAACTCGCCGGCTAAACTCGAACGCTGACAAAGCGGTCATTGGGAGTCAGAAGTTGACAGACTAACTGGCGCCCTTAGGAACAGCTGACATCCAAATCCGTGGCCAAGATTTGGACTAATATTTACTCTTATTGCCTTACACAGATCATCGGCAAGTTCCGGTTACATGAAAAGCTCTCACTAAACGGCAAATAAAATGACAGGTGGGGCGGACCTGTCGTTTAGATACCATTTAAGCTTTGTTCTTATTCAGCTTTTCTTCCTTGAAAAGTCAATGGAGTCAGTAAATAAGGGCTTGTTGTTTTCTCGTGCTTGTGACAGCTATGATGATATTCCACCTGACGTAAAGCGGAATGGGTGTTTCGGCACCTGACTGGCGCAGATAAAGATATTTGTAGGCTTAGCCAAAGAACTTTAAAACCTGTGTTCTCGCGGATGATATTTCCTGGTTTTCTCATGTTCAGTAAACTTTGACGGTGTCAGTTTTAGCTTTAACTTGAAATTAAAGTAGCAAGGTTCTGTTTCAATGTGTTTCTCTTATGATCAGGTTTCTGCAACACATAGTCGTAATAGTATATTCCATGCACAACACATGCCTATCCGTAAGTCAAAATATCAAGCTATAAATCAATTTTCTCTTAACCCAACAGGATAAAAGCTGTTCTCGGTGCTCTACTTTTCATGTCCTAGGGTTTCTTTACTTACATCAAATAAAAATATCTAGTAGACCCTATTAAAACAGTCCCGGTCAAAGTCCCGGCCTTGATATTAAGAACTCAAACTTTTGCGATGAAGATGAATGGTACTCAGATATGTGGAGATAAATCATTTTTCCTTTAGGAATTCGCTTTCCTTACCATCCTCTGAACTTCCGAAGGGTCTAGTTTTACCGCTAAAGCTCATTTCCGTTTTCCAAGTATCCGTATACAAGAGGAGTAACGCCGCGCTCTGCCGATTTTTTTTTTTTCCTCTTTAGTGACCAAAGGGCATGTGGATGTTCTCAGTCGGTGCTCTTAATGAAGAGTTTAAATCACATCTAGTTCTCATATTCCTAAATAAACAAAATTAAAGTATTTAGAAAGGAAACCACCTCAGCCTCAGTTGCTTTTCAGGCGGGTTCTTCATCCTGGTCGAATTGGAATTTGAAGATGTTGGGCTTTTTTTTTTTTTTCCTTCCTCTACAAGTTGTTATTTCAGACACATTACAGTGGTTATCAGGTGGCCGTTAAGTTAGACCTCTAGCAGCGCCTCTTTTTATTGTGACGCGAAAACGGAAAGCGAGAGAGGAAAAAATATCAGCACAATCGCGCGCCCGCGTTATTTATTTTATTCTCGTGCTCTCTTTCGGGTCACACTCGAGGGACCAAGAATAAGAGAGAGGCTTCTCACAGACTGCCGCAAAGATGCAGTGAAGCCGACGTTGTAGTTCGATTTCTTTGGCCAACGCAAAAAACTGTGTTAAGTTCGGTCGTGTACAAACACTTTCAATTCGATGAAAACACCAAAATGAAAGGTTTGTTAATAAAGTTGAACAACATCAAAGAGGTCATGATCAAAAATGGACAAGGATGGACTATGTTTGGCATGATCGAGAAAGATAGCTGACTTAAACTTGCAAATGATAACATTTTAGGTGCGCCAGCTCCTCCAGCTCAGTTGCAATGCGCTTGTTTTATAGTTTTGCGACCGTGCAGAAATCAAAGTTGATGCATTTTCACCCTCTCAATTTAATATGGATCCCTGAGTACAGTGCAAGGAGAGCAGGGGCTGGTCAGAATCTATGTTCATTCGAGAAATGAATTATTTTGGTGAAATATATCTCGAGAAAGCCTGATCCTCCTCGAATTGTCAAATTTAATTGTGATGCAACTCTGGTGTTTTCCATTGAAAGTGATGTTTGCACTATCGTAACCAAAATCAAGCATTGTTTTTGAGCAGGCTAGAGTGTTTGAGTAAGAAGAAAATATTTTGAGAAAAAGCTAAAACAGCTCTTAAATTCGAGCACCAAAAATGTTTTGCAAAGTTAGGATTCAGATAAGCATGTGATGATGGAACAGTTCAAACTGATGTGTTAGCCTACACAAATCAGATTTTGGTCTTTGGCTGAGACTTTTCTCGTTAAGTGTTCCTGACATTTGTAAGCCCAGTGCTGTTAGGTAACGAGGAACGTGTTCTAACGCTCCTCCGATCCTCAGAGTACTCAAGTGGATGGAACCCCGTAAATTTATCGTTATAAACTCCAGCGTGATCACCTGTGAACGTAATAAAACGGTGCTTTTTCGGCGTCTGAAAGGATCCGAAAAGTCTTTTGCTCCTTCTGAAGGACCCTCGAGTGATCATGTGGTGAGAAGGACAAACTAAGATCTGATTAATAGCATCGCGAGCGTGTGTGTCCTGATCCATGCATGAGGGTTCTTAGGCATGCCACAAGCCTGCACTTCATACTAGAATTCACGTGTCTAAGCTCGAGAATTCAAGTGGTTGAGAGGGTTTACCTTAAAACAACACAACATGATGGCTTTATTGCAATGCTTTCACTAATAATTTTAGAGCTGGAAAGCACTAAGCTGTATTGAAGAACATTATTATGTTTCACGGGAAAGGATAAGTTACAGACTCGTGATTTTCAGAAGCGCGTGTGAGTAAGAGAATTGTCCTTAGTGTGATGAATGAATTGAGTTTACATCATTGCCATGTTCTTTTGGCGACGTTTTCCCGTGAAAATATATTTCCCTGAGTATTCTATATATAGTAGAGTAGAATGACATCTAAGTTCTATACTGGATGTACATCACAATTGTCTTCAAAATAAAGAGAATACAGTTTCCAAAAAATTACCGGGAAACTTGATTTTACACGTTTGCTTTACTCAACAATCCACCTTACTCCGTAATATCTCCACTGAATCCCCCGTACTTTTTTTGTAGTTATGTTCTTTCTTTCGCAAAAAAGAAACACTTTCTAGAGGTTCCATGCTGGCCGTGGAA